ACTGCCCCACCAACGCGGCTATGTCTGCATCCAATTCTGTCCAGCAGTCATAACTTCTCGCCAACATCTTCATTTTGGAGACCCCTGGATGACCCTAGTGGAGTTCAGCCAGTATTTGGCAATGACCTTTACCCAAAACAATCACTCTTGCTCTCCATTATAATATACTGCTCTCTATGGTGATCTGGTCCCTCTGGATCCAGAAAGGTTTCAGTTCTGATTGTGAAAGCCCTTTAGTTTCCCTCATCACCACCAGCTGTTTTAGTTTTGCCAGGACCAGATCTTTTTGCACCCATAGTCTGATATTATCAGTGGTTGCTGTGGTCGGTTCACTCGCTAAGTTCTCCACCAAGAAGGTCATCAACAAACACATAGAATTAGACCCAATATATACACCACTGCGAAGGAAAACTGGAAATGAGGTAATCCCCCCAATTCCAACAGACCCCAGAGTTTAAATAACAGGCAGGAAAATACAACAGCGCTTCATCGGAGGCTGTACTGATGATGTTACCCAGCAGGGTAATGAAACGTGCATGAACTAACAAACCAGCTCGGTGAAGCAACCAACCACAGCATCCACAACCCGAGCTACAAATTTACTCAAGAACATTATCAGTGATATTGGAAGGGTGTTCAGTGTTTTAAAACCAGAGTGGACTCTTTGAGTTCCACACCACCGGTGGTGTATCTGCCAGTGGGAGGCTGCTCAAGGCACCTGCATTTGCTACATGGTCTCTGGCTGATGTTCCAATTTGTAATTGTACGCACTTACCCACTTAGAATGAGAGCCCACCACTGAATTTGATCTGAGGCTATGGGTGGCACGGCCTTGTCCTCTTTGAGTAGTCCTGGTAAGAGTTTGTAGTCTGTTATTTACATGTGCAAAGTATTGCTGAAACCTTCTCACACCAAGTTCTCTTAGTGTGCCTAATTGGTCTTCCCTGTTATTAGCACATCATCCAGATAAATGGTGACTACAGTAGATTTTGTAAAATATTCTCCACTGTCCACTGCAAAATGGCACTGGCTGATGGTACCCCAAATGGCAGTCTCGTATATTGGTACAAACTCTTATGGATATTAATTGTAGCATACTTCTGGGAATCCTCATCTAACCGCAATTGCAAGTTTGAATGGCTCATGTCCAACTTCGTGAAGCACCACCCCCTGACAACATTGCAAGGGATTGGGTATTTATCCAGCTGTGAGAAGTGGTTTACCATTATTTAAAAATCCCCAAAAAGGCAAACTGACCTGTAAAGCTTCACGATCAGTATGACCGGTGCTGCCCATTCTGCAGACTGGACTGGTTTGATGATTTCTTTGCCTTCTAGCTTCCTGATTTCTGCCTCTACTTTTGCCCAAAAGGCAAATGGCACTGAGCAGGCCTTGCAGAATATTGGTCAATGTGCAAGGTGGCCTTGACTGCTTTGATAGTCCCTAGACCTTCTTGAAAAACATTCAGGAATTTAATCAGGGCTTCACTCAAGCAGCTATTTTCAAATTGAAAAATGTTGAGCCAATTAGGTCGAATCTTTCTCAACCAATTTTGCCCCATCAGGCTTGGGCCTGAGCCTTTTATTACAATCAGTGGTGACTGAACCAGCTGCTTGTCATATGAGATTAGAACCAAAGTTATGCCCTCAATCTGTAAAGGTTCCCCAGTATATGTTCTCAGTCTGGACAAGGTATTACATAAACTTAAGGGTTGGAGCCCAGAACGAATTTTGTTAAAGACTGGTTCAGCAATCAGTTACACTGTTGCACCAGTGTCAACCTCCATTACACTTCACCCTAATGAAAGGGCAAAAGCTCGAAAGCTTGTGATTTCAAATAAACCTGTTGGACTATAACCTGGTGTCATGTGACATCTGACTTCAACCTCCACTAGAACAGGGTGACCACTTAACCAGACATTTATTTTGATTGGAACCGAAAGAACTGCTAATGTTGTAAATCAGAAACAAAACCAGAAATTGCTGGAAAAGCTCAGCAGCTCTGGCAGCATCTGTAGAGAGAAGTCAACAGTTAACATTTCAGGTTGAGTGACCCTTCCTATAAACCCACAATGCTGATAGTGAGAGAGTTCCAGGATTTTAACTCAGTGATAGTGAAGGAAACAGACCCTTTGGTCCAACTTGTCCATGCCGACCAGGTATCCTAAACTAATCTAGTCCTATTTGCCAGCATTTGGCCCATATACCTCTAAACCCTTTCTATTCATGTACCCATCCAGATGCATTTTAAATGTTGTAATTGTACCAGCCTCCACCACTTCCTCTGGCAACTCATTCCATACACACACTGTCCTCTCTGTGAAAAAGTTGCCTCTTAGGTCCCTTTTAAATCTTTCTCCTCTCACCTTAAACTGTGCCACCAAGTTTTGGACTCCCTCCCCTGGGGAAAAGACTTTGACAATCCACCCTATCCATGCCCCTAATGATTTTATAAACTATTTAAGGTCACCTCTCAGCTTCCAATGCTCCAGGGAAAATAGCCCCAGCCTATTCAGCCTCTCCCTACAGCTCAAACCCTCCAACCCTGGCAACATCCTTTAGAAATCTTTTCTGAACCCTTTCAAGTTTCTTTTGGGGCATTTACCTGAGGTGAGGGATCTATTTGGGGCATTTACCTGGGGTGGGGGTATATTTGGGCTATTTACATGGGGTGATGGTATATTTGGGATATTTACCCATGATGGGGTATATTTTGTGGTAAAAGCTATCACAGTCACAAAGGACTATAGGACTGCTTTTTCATTAGAGAGAGAGAGAAAGATGACTGATGATGGTTTAACCTGAGGGTAACCACATCTCAGTTGAGAGGAGAGGTTTAGAAGGAGAGGTCTTCATGGTAACCTCAGCCAGTGTAGAATTGGGCACATGGCTGTTGCCAACATTACATCATGAACCCCAGTGCGGGCTTTTTCTTCTGGTTAATACTGACAGGTCAAAGTCATTGTCTTCAGTCCTACAACAAATCCATTCCTTAATTACCAACTCTATCCCTCTCCTTAGCACCTGCCTGAGGCTAAAACCTTGCACAATTGTGGGGTATTTACTTGGGTGTGTGGTATTTATCGAAATGTGGAGTTTTTACCTGGATGGGAGTATTTAACCAGGCATTTACGAGGGTGTGGGGTACTTACCTAGGCTTAGGGTATTTACTTGCAATGTAGGGTATTTAGCAGGGGTGAGGGATATTTCCCTGGGTGGGGTGTATTAATCAGGTGGGCAAAATTACCTGTGATGGGAAATTTACCTGGGATTGGGGTATTCACAGTGGTTGGGGTATTTACCTGGGCATGGGGTATTTATCCACAGTATGGGGTAATTACCTGGGGTAGGAGACTATTTACCCAATTGGGGTAATTACCCAAGTATGGGACATGTACCCAGGTATGGGTTATTTGTCTGGGTATGAGGGATTTACCCGGGATTGGTATTTACCAAATGGAATGGGGTATTTATTCAGATATGAGATACTTACCCAGGTATGGGGTATTTACCCAGGTACAGACTATTTACCTGGGGAGTAGTTTTACCCAGGTGTGGGGTATTTACCCAGGTAGGAGGTATTTACTTGGGTACGGTGCATTTACCTAGATGTGGAGTATCTACCCGGGTACAGAGTACTTACCTGGGTGTGGGGTATTTACCCAGGTATGGGGCATTTATTTAGATGTGGGGCAGTTAGCTGGGTATGGGGTATTTATATGGGTGTGGGGTATTTACCCAGGAATGGGGTATTTACCCCAGGTGTGAATTATTTATTTAGATATGGGGTCTTTACCTGGATGTGGGTTAGTTACTCAGATATGGGGCATTTACATGGGTGTCGTGTAGTTAGCCAGGTGTGGGGTAGTTACTCAGATATGTGGTACATACCTGGTATGGAGTATTTACCCAGGAATGGGGTATTTACCTAAGTATGGGATATTTACCAATGTATGGGCTATTTACCCAGGTAGGGTGTATTTACCCAAGTATGGGATATATATTCACATATGACGTATTTACCCAGGTAGAGTGAATTTACCCGAGTATGCAGTATTTACCAAGGTAGGGGTTATTTACCCAAGTATGGGATATTTACCCATGTATTGGTTATTTACCTGCATATGGGGTATTTACCTGCCTAAGGGGTATTTACCCAGGCATGGGGTATTTATCGAGGTATCGGGGTATTTACCTGGGTGAGGGGGCTATTTACCCAGATAAGAGGGATATATAACCAGGTAGGTTTTTTACCCAGATAAGGGGGCATTTACCTGGATAAGGAGGTATTTACCCAGGTGGGAGGGGTATTTACCCGGGTAGTGGGTTGTTATGCAGATAAGGGAGTATTTACCTGGATAAAGGGGTATTTACCTGGATATGGGAGGTATTTACCTGGGTAGGGAGTATTTACCTGGGCAGGGGGTATTTACACGGATAAGGGAGGTATTTACCTGGATAAGGGATGTATTTACCCGGGTGGAGGATATTTACCTGGGTACTGGGTTTTTACGCAGATAAGGGGGTATTTACCCAGATAAGGGGGTATTTACCCAGATAAGGGGTATTTACCCAGGTAGCGGTATTTACCTGGGTAGGGGTATTTAGCCGGATAAGAGGTTATTTAACCGGAAAAGAGGGTATTTACCCGGGTGGGGTATTTACCCAGGTAGGGGTATTTACTCAGGTGGGGTATTTACCCGGATAAAGGGGTATTTACACGAGTGGGGTATTTACCCGGATAAGGGGGTATTTACCTGGGTGGGGTATTTACTCGGATAAGAGGGTATTTACCCAGATGGGGTATTTACCTGGATAAGGGGGTAGTTACCCGGGTGGGGTATTTACCCGGATAAGGGGTATTTACCCGGGTGGGTATTTACCCGGATAAGGGGGTATTTACCCGGGTGGGGTATTTAC